CGAGGACTAAGCCGGTCGTAAGGCGAGGACTAAACCGGTCGTAAGGCGAGGACTACCCAACCGGTCGTAAGTCAAGGACTTTCCCTGCCTGGGAGCGCTGCACATGCATGGTTCCGCCCCCTGCGCCGGCCGAGGCGTAGCTGGCAAGCAGCAGAGACGGAGCAGGCCGACCACCAGCTGGCCCAGCTCAAGGGAGGTAAGGCACCCGCCGGAAAAGGGGAAAAAAATGGCGGACAGCCTTGCTTGGCGACCCCTGTGAAATCGTCAATCGACCCCAAATGGGGTCGCGACCCATAGGTTGAGAACCGCTGCCTTAAACCAAAGTTACTTTAATCTAATATTGCGTAGAGGTTGCCATTTACTTTGTCTGGATGATTCTCCCTTGTGTGTTTTGTGGTTTTGTAGTTTTATACATTATTTGGTCTTTTTCTCGATAAGTAGAATTTATGAAACTCATAATGAATACAAAACTGCAACAAGATCTCTCATCATTTATATCTGAAACAGAAACACTTATATCTTTTTCCTTTCATCCATAATATGCAATGGATAAGTAGAGTTTCAGATGGACAACAATCTTTCCTTGTATAGATTCTCTCATTCCTAAATCTTATTTATTTCAATAACATCCAAAATTGCAAGAACTTCATTCTACAGTAAAAAGATCTATAAGGACAATAAGGGCAAAATTAGGTTGCTTTTAACTATGCTTGAACATTGTTCATTTTATGAAAGATCTACCAGTTTTCTCTAAGAGTGTGATAAAACTTTCAGACTTTATTTTTTTTTTTACTAACCTTTGGAAAGAGGCCCTTGAAGGAGAACCAGAATCTTTAAAAAGTGGAAACTTGAAAAATGAAGGTGACAGTGAGGCAGGAAAATAATGTGAGGAGTAGAGCTTCTTTAGATCAAACTCAGAATTAGTTAGAAGATTAAAGGCCATCTGCTTTTTGCTGTAATTTCTAATGCTAGAGTAGTATGGAATTGTAAAGTTGTGAACTCTGTCTTACTTTCTTTCATCTTATGACACTACCTGGCATTTTTGTGGGGAAAAACCACACAACAAAACCTAAGCCCCTTGTTTTCTGGAATATTAAAAAAATGAGCATGATATATCTGTAGACGTTTGATTAAGATGTCATTAACTAGAGAAGAGCTCTCCTAGGTCAAAGCAAAAACATTGTTGCTCACAGAGGATAAGCAGAGGACAATATTATTATTTGTGGGCAGGAGACCGGTTGAACATGTTATGTCCCAAGAATAACTGCAGAGTGGCAAGTTTGGATGAAGTCAAGCTTGGTTAACATTGGGAGACAAATGCATTGAATGAGTGTTACAAGACAATGTGGAAGCTGTTTGGTTCATTTTAGGAGCTTTTGAAGCTAATAAAAGTCAATAAAATCCCTATCGAGATGGAGTTTGCATAGTGCTAAAACAAAAAGGCTCCACAGTATTATGTCGATACGACATCATCATTTATCTAAACTATCAACTACTCAAGGAAGAATGTTCATACTACATTCTTCCCCCCCCCCCCATCCTCCACTTCTAAAACTCTGTCTCCTACTTTGCATTCTAATGTTGCATTTATGCCTTGGAGATGTGGAAATGAGCAATACAATATGATGGATGGATGCAGCTTGCCTGGATTCTCTACCACCATTTCCCTTGGGGCCTCCCAGCTGCTGGCAGAGAGCACCATCCCAGAAGAGGGTATCTTTTGCAAACTCGACAGCTAGCAGACAATATCTCTCTCTCTCTCTCTCTCTCTCTCCCTCTCTCTCTCTCTCTCTCTCTCTCTCTCTCTCTCTCTCTCTCTCTCTCTCTCTCTCTCTCTCCCTCCCTCCCTCCCTCCCTCCCTCCCTCCCTCCCTCCGTATTTCCCAGCAGAGCAAGCTTAATCTGTTTTTTCCTTTCCCCTGGCATACCTCATGATTGTCTTTCTGACTTTAGTTGTTTTGAATAAATGCCATAAATACTTTCCATAAAATAAAAATGGGAAGAATGGGAAGCAGAAATGGAGCTGGTATTTCATACTCTTGTGATGTTGATAGATTCTAATTTGGAACTGACATGAGATGTAATTGCTCATTGAGCCACTCGGTTGCCCTTTAAGGCACATTCTGCCTTGTTTTGTTAATGAGCTGCGTGGTTACATTCACCCAGCAGTAGATCTCTGATGTGCCAGGCATTTCATGCATTTCAATTTTTAAAAAAAAATTGTAAGAGGTCTGCCATGTTAAATGGTATCTATCAGAATCAGCTGCAGCGTAGAGCTTATGAAAATAAACTGGTCCGAGGAATCCAAGGGACAAACTATTTATATGCGCATTGTGTAAAGCGTTCCTTTGAGAGCCAGTTGGGTGTAGTTGTTAAGGCATTAGGCTTGAAATTGGGAGACTGTATATAATAGTCCTGCCTTAAATATGAAGTCAGTTGGGTGACCCCGAATCACCCTTTCTCATCCCTGGAAAACAGTCAGTGGCCAACCACTTCTGACACACACACACAAAAAGAGCTACATTGGATGTATTCTTTTCTTATTGCAGTAACATTTTATAAAGTTATATGCCTTATATAGAAAATTATAAAGGTGCAATAATTGCTTCAAATGGATATTAGTCCATTGCAGGGGTGTCAAACTCAATTTCACTGAGGGCCGCATCAGCATTGCGGTTGCCCTGGGGGGGCTGGGTTGGTGTGGCCAGAGTGGGTGCAGCCTACTGGGTGGGCGTGGATGGAGTGGATGTGGCCTACTGGATGGGCGTGACCAGTTCTACATCATTCGCATCAAGGGTGCCTATGGGGGCCTGGGCAGGAGTGGGACAGATTGAGGGTCTCTGGCAGAAGGGGGTGGGACCGGGGCAAGTGCCAAAGCATGGTCCACCGGGGCAAGTGCCAAGATGGCCACCATAAAATTGTACATTGGCTCCCGGCTGGCCTGGGCCAGAGCCAAGGCAGCGGAGGCCGTTCCCTCTCTGTTTCCAGGATGGCTTCGCAGGCCACATGAAACCATTTCGCGGGCCGCATCCGGCCCCCAGGCCTTGTGTTTGACATGTCTGGTCTATTGTCATGACATATTCGTTTGAGAGATGTTGGCTATTACCAGTCCTCTATGGAGTCCTTGTCTCCTCAGGTATGGGACACCCTTTTGAAGATGACTTAGGCAGGGTTGGGGCCTGATCCTAACTCTCTGAAGCCCAGATGTTGTCATCTGCAGTATTTGGCACTGATCTGTGTCCATTTTAACTTTTCACCAGTCATATAGAAACCGAAGTTGGTTGTTGATCTTTTGTCTTTTGCCAGTTCAGACTGTATTAACCAAAACAGATGAAGAAGAGAAGAAACTTTTTATGGGCAAAGAATAGAGAAAAAAAGACATCAATCAAACAAGCAGCTCCTCCTGCACAATAAAAAATGAATGTAAAGTTCTCTCCCCTAATTCTATATTTGTAACAAAACAATATAAGGGGAAGTTTTTAGGATGCTGAAATGATACACTCCTTTTTTCAAAACAATACTGTTTGTAGGAGGGATCTATTCTTTTTTTTCCTTTCACCCTTGACCCTGGGGGAGAGAACAGGAAAAGTTATTTACCGGTATGCTCTGAATTTTGGCAGGAAGGATCCAGGGTTGAAATGACAATGTGTGTGAAACAGCATTTCTTTTATTTCTTGGAATGTGATCAGATATCTGTTCTCAGAGCAGAGTGAGATTAGCTTAATAGCTATAAAATACATCGAAACAGATTTGTTTGTTTTAATACACCAATATTTGAGTGGAAAATTGGTAACCCTTAATGATACGTTACTAACATACAAATACAAATTGGTGGTTGGCCATAAAAGATGACATCCCATTACCTGGTTTAACTCAGGTTGTGGCACCTGCCCAATTGAGTCTGGGCTCAAGTAGCTAAATTGCGCCTGGGCTAGTCAATAATTAGGCGGGACATGTGTCGGAATTACCAGGGTTGGAAGCTAGACTGGGACATGAAAGTATATCTTGGAAGAAGATACCATTTTTGTGTCTGTAAAGTTACCAGAATTTAAGCCTGACTCAAAGGAGGCCTTTTTTAAATCCAATTAACTGCTTCCCACTGACAGAAGCCCATCAATGTCCTCAAACTCTACTTGCAAAACATTGTGACTCTCCAGAGTAGTTTTGGGAAGCATGAAGTGGAGGCATGGGGAGAGAAAAGTCCTTTGCGCAATTGGAATCCAGCTGCAGGCTGTAGAATATTATCCCAATTATGGTACTTTAAACTGACTAGAACACGGGTGTCAAACTCACCGCATCGTGTGACGTGTCGCGACGTATCACAACTTTTTTTGCAGTGCTGGAGCTGGGGTAGGCGTGGCCTCCGTATGATGTAACCGCCCCTCGGGCCGGCAGTTTGACACCCCTGGACTAGAAGAATGCATTATCATGTCAAAAGGGATGGTGTATTTTTCACTGTTGGGCAATTTAAAAGAAAAGTCTCTTTGTGATGAGCTCAATTTCTTGGGACTTCATGGCCATGACCACGCAGTTTTCTTGTCAGCAATAACCAAAGTGGTTTGCCACTGCCATTTCCCAGAATCTTTTCCAACTTTTGAATATAGTGTGTGTTTCTTAGTATTTCTGGAGCTTTCACCTCCAACTACTAACTAGGTTGAGCTGTTTCATTTGTAGATTAGACAAGATGACCCGATGCCACACCAGCTAAGAGCTGTTTCCACATAAAAGCTCTCTTCAAATTATCAACTAGACAAATATTTACATTAATGTTTCTTTGAAAAAAAATCAGTATTGGTAAGATGGCTATATTTTACCAGCAAGTCTAGTTCAAATTTGACTTTTGGATATATTAACATGTCAAAATAATAATTGTATCTCTCAGTGTTTAAGGACATTTGCTCTTTCTTGTGAATAAACTGAAAACTGTATGACTATTCTATCCATTGTTCTGGTTGCTTACTTTAAGGAAGTAATAGTAGTCATTGTTGTTTGATTTGTCAGAAGTTGACCTGCCTCTGAAGAAGGATGGCTTCACATCAGAAGGGACCACACTGGAAGCTTTGTTGCGTGGAGAAGGGCTTGAAAAAAAGATAGATGCTAAAGAAGAAGATACTCTACAAGAGATCCAGGTAATCTCACATTTTCAGTTCATAAACTGTAGGACAGTATGTGCATGTGTAAGTAGGTTAATTAATCATTATTTCCAGATTGTACATGTTGCCTTTAAGAAGATGGATTGAATAAATAAATAGTTCAGAATTTTGTAAAACCATTGCATAAAAAGTGATGGGAACTGCAAGTGTCACTTTGGAGATAAATATTCGTGTTAGCAATAAGCACTTATAAAAACAGATTCCTTCTAGATGGGAAGTGGAAGATATATCTTTAGAACAGGGAGGCTTCTATTGTCAGCTTACAGCTTCTTTACCACCTTATTTAGCTGTTGCTCTGATGCCTTTTTATTTCCAAATTAGCCTTTCTAAAGCATCCTTCTTCCATCTGGGACCAAAAAAACCCCCACACAACTTGAGATCCTAAGACTGCATGAGATCCTCAGAGGCACTGAACACAGCTGCAGGTGGCACTTCAAAAATTGCCAACAAATTTTATTCATCATTCATTCATCCATTTTGCTATAGCATCTAGTATGGAAAATGCAGCAAAGAAAAATAATAATAAATACATGAGGAGTAATTATATTAATTGACTTTAATTATACTTCAAAGAATTTACCAATTTATTTTTGTCCTTCTCCCCAAATACTTTTTAGAACACACGTTAGCATTGTACTTAATGACCAGAAAAAGAGAAAAAGTGTGCATCCCTGATATAATCAAATCATATTGGCAATAAAATAATATCACTATTTCTAGGAGGAATACTTAATTAAATATACTTGATTTATATTCTTCTCATTCAAATGGGATATTTAAGGTGGTTTACCATTTAAAACAGAAATTACACACTCAAACAAAACAATTACAAAATTAAAAAAAAATAAAGAAATGAAAATGTCTAGTAATGTCATTGCATGTTAAAAGCTTGGCTAAAAAGATGTTTCTTTTCAGATTTTATAAAGGCAGACAATGAAGGCTTTAAGAGAGTTTCTAAGAACAGCCCTAAGTAAAATGCAATAGTCAAGATGAGTTGTTCCTAAGCCATTAGACCTGTTAATAGCTGGTGTTCTAACTGTGGTTGTGTAACTCCACTTCTTGAGAATCCAGTGTCATCCAAGGATAAAGTAGCATTCCTGCATTGTGGACCTGTTTTTTTTTAGCAGATTAATATTCTTATCTAGAACAATCTGAACTATGATCTCAATGGCAGTTTACCTATTAACCAACAATACCTCTATCTTTGCCCAAAGTTAATCCTGTACTCTTTACTCATCCTCTTGAAATTAGGCATTCCACCTATTAAACATTTTGGAGGACTTGGATGATAAGGAATAATATCACTGTGTGGGTTCTCAGCATGTTGATAGTATCTACTCTAATGTGCTGGGTATACCTCCAGGAGTTTCATGTATATGTTGACACATCTGTGGTACTGAAAAAATCAGTGGCCTAGGCTTTGAGCAATAGTTTCCTAACCTTATCTTCTGGTGGTGGCTTGACAGCAAAGACTGGAACCTTTTTACACACACACACACACACACACACACACACACACACACGGACTAGATTAATAGTATTAAAAACTGTCGAAAAGTCAAAAGAAATGAACAGAACTACAGTGCAACAGCAATAGCACTTAAGATTTATATACCACTTCATAATGCTTTACAGTCCTCTCCAAGCAATTTACAGAGTCAGCCTATTGCCCCCAACAATCTGGGTCCTCATTTTACCAATCTCAGAAGGATGGAAGGCTGAGTCAACCTTGAGCCGGTCAGGATCGAACTGCTGGCAGTCAGCAGAGTTAGTCTGCAATACTGCACTGTAACAACAGCACCACTCCACCACAATGCCCCTGTAGAATAAAGCTAAATTTTCTCTCCTACATCCAGTTTCTAGTATAAGTTATCCAACAAGACAACTAAGTCAAACTACTTTATATCCCACTTGGAAATCTGATTTAGACGTAAAAGTATCCTGTAGATGCCTCTTGAATTGTAAGGTTATTACTTTCTCAAATCTCTTTTGCCAGTTATAAAATGTGTGAGCTTGGCCTCAAATTCTGTACCACCTTATGGGCTCCACTTCAAGAAGGATTCAGACAAACTGAATCAGATTTCGGAAAAAGCAATTAAGTTTGATAAGGGGACCAGAAATCAAGTCTTATCTAGGGAGGTTGAAGGAACAGGGACTGTTTATCCTTGACAACAGTGGATGTATGATAAAGTATGGGCCATGGATGTGTTTAAATTAAATTTAATAGATTTCAGTTATAGAAAGGCAGATTTCAGCTGAATGTCCAAATGGTTTCTGTAACATTAAAAGCAATTTGAGAGCCTAACCAATCTCCTAGAAAAAGTGGAAAGCGCCCCTTCATGGGGTGGGTTCATTTATTATTGTAGGAGTGATTTAATTTGTGTCCCGGCAAAATAGGAGGTTGGACTTAATGACCTAAGTGGCTTCTCCCAGGTCTCTCTTTCTGTGATATATTTTCTTTGCTAAATTCTGCTAAAAAGGCCTTCCGTTGCACTGGGATTTGTTTTTAATTATTGTTTATTATTTCGACTCCAGCGGGTTTTGGAAAACGATGAGAATGCAGATGAAGCGAACGAAGAGGAAGAGATAGAAGAAGATATTCCAAAACGAAAAAACAGACCCCGAGGACGGGTAAGCTGCTTTAGCCTTGTGGGAAAGAGGAGGAGGAAGAGGAGGAGGAGGAAGAGGGGGAGGAGAAAATAATCCCAATTTGCATCTTTATATATTGCCCATCTTTATATATATGCATACAGAGGCACAATGTTTAATGACACCCAGTGATATGTGGTATGTTCCAAAACTGTAGGATGATCAATTAAATATGTGTGGTGGTTAATTCATACCTGCAAATTCTCTGTGGGTGGCTCACTGGTGTTTTTCTTTTTTCCGCTCTCTGATCTTTAATATAAAGCCATCATGAAGTGAAATGATATAGAAAACACTCATATATAGTGATGGCACATAACTTGCACTATTTGCTGCTTGTTTTCTTTCTTTCTTTCTTTCTTTCTTTCTTTCTTTCTTTCTTTCTTTCTTTCTTTCTTTCTTTCTTTCTTTCTTTCTCTCTCTCTCTCTCTCTCTCTCTCTCTCTCTCTCTCTCTCTCTCTCTCTCTCTCTCTCTCTCTCTCTCTCTCTCTCTCCCTCCCTCCCGCCCTGGTGTGTGTGTGTGTGTGTGTGTGTGCGTGTGTGTGTATTTCCCTTGGCAGTTTCAAAGCAGGGATGAGCTGGCTATTGATCAGTCTTCTCCACATGATGCTCCAGCTGCAGGCTCTCACTAATCAGGTCCCCTGGCAAGAAACCCACGCAGTAGGCAGATAGCTCACCTCACCTCCTACTGTTGCTGCTGCTTGGCTGTCTCAGCCCACTGGGGTGAACTGTTGCAGGCTCTCGGAACTGAGAGAAGCCCAGCCCCTACAAGGTCCCTGGAGCAGCTTCCCAGCAGAGAACTCTATTATATTCACTAGGACTGATCTACTCCATCAGCAGCCTCATAGTAAATGTCCTAGTTGGCAGAAACAAGAGCTGTGTTGTTTCCAGGTACACTACAAGATGCTAAGTACAGAATGCAGGAAGCATCCAGTGCTAGAATTAGGGGGCTACAGAAAAATCTCCTCTTTATCACTTTAAATGCAGGCTTGCTCTGTTCTAATGGGAGATGGGGTGGAGTGCATTCTAAAGAGAAAAAAAAGGTATATTTGAGGTGACTTTCTCTCCATTCTTTCTTTTCTCACACTTTTCTTCTAGCCAAGAACTGAGAGTAAAAGAAAGTTCAGGTTGGGGCAAGGCATGGGGGTGGGGGAAGCTTGCAATCTTTGCCCATTTTGTCTGTGTGAATTGTATAAGTTCTACTCTCTGCAGATGAAGCAGTTCAGCATTTAAAGTAAGATGGCCATTATTCCCATTTTATTTATTCATTAAAAGATGGAGCGGGAGAGAAGCAGCTCTGGGTCACTGACCAACCTGCACTAACTTAGCAAGGGTTTGGGAAACCTGCACTGCTTAAAAAATAGAAACAAGCAATTTTCTCTTATTTTAGGATTTTACATCTATGGCACATTGTCAGTTTGATACTTAAGGATGACCATAGGACACAGAGGCAGACATAACTGCACCTCTTGATTGTTCTACCATCTTGGCCCTAGCTGTGCCTATTTCCAGAGTGTATTTTTGAATTTGGTGAATGATGGGATGTTAGTAAGCAAACAGAGTAAGTTTGTAGTAAACAGAGTAAGTTTTAGAGCTGGTCCACATCTGTTCCTTATTAGGGTCTATTAGAAAATATTTTTCTTACTGAAAATTTGAAGAACTCTTTGATACTATTCCAGGCTATACATTAAAAAAAAATGGAGAACAGGGTCTTGAGTTGTCAGTAACAGTACTCTGATAGAAAACAGAATTGGCAGAGAGATTATCTGATTACAATCTTCCCAACCATGCAGTACTGTGCTTTTAATTTCTATTCAGAACACCTGGATGTGCAAAGGCAGCTCTAGTGTGTAACTCAGGAGAGAAGCTGCCTTTTTCCTAGAATTACATGGCTACTATAAAGAGGCCCGTCCCCTTGCCCAAACCCTGCAAAGTTCTAAAGTAGGGTAGAAGTAGAGAAAAATAAAGTTCTACTTTTAGGCAAGAAAAACCAAATGCATGGGTATAGAATAAGTGGTATCTGGCTCAATAGTACTAACTGGAAGAAGAATCTTGGAGTCCTAGTGGACAACCATTTAAATATGAGCCAGCGTTATGCTGCAGCTGCCAAACAAGCCAACATAATCCTAGGCCACATTAACAAAAGGATAGAATCAAGAACACATGAAGTATCAGTACCATTTTATAATGCCTTGGTGAGACCACACTTGGAACATTGCATCTGGTTTCGGTCATCACGATATAAAAAAAGATGTTGAAACTCTGGAAAGAGTGCAGAGATGATTAGAGGACTGGAGGCTAAAACATATGAACAATTGCAGGAATTGGGCATGTCTAGTTTAATGAAAAGTAAGACTAGGGATGACGTGATAGCAGTGTGTCAATATCTAGCTGCCACAAAGAAGACAGGGTCAACCATTCTCTAAACTAAGCACCTGAAAGCAGAATAAGAAGCAATGAATGGAAACTAATGAAAGAGAGAACCAACCTAGAACTAAGGAGAAATTTCCTGATGGTCAGTACAATTAAACAGTGGGACAGCTTGCCTTCAGAAGTTGTGGGTGCTTCATCACCAGGGCTTTTTTTCAGCCGGAACGCGGCGGAACCGCGTTCCGGCACCTTTTTCCGGGCCGGCCGCACCGGAAATAGCCCCTCCCAAATTTTACTTGCATTCCTGTTCTCTAAAGGGGCGGTCCTAGGGTTTGATGAGGGCGTGGCCAGGTTTGAGTTCCGCCACCTTTTCTCCGAGAAAAAAAGCCCTGTTCATCACTAAAGGTTTTTAAGAAGAGACTGGAAAACCACTTATCTGAAATGATATTGGGTCTCCTACTTGAACAGTAGGTTGGACTAGAAGACCTCCAAGGTCCCTTCCAACTCTTATTCTATTATTCTAATATATTACTTCTGTTTAACACAGCAATTATGCCTAAACTGGCATCAATATATATTCATGCATGTATACAATATTTGTGCAGACGGGCGTTTCATTTTGCTCCCTTTTTAGCAATGTTGAGAGGCCCATTCTAGTCTCAAAATATGGGTTGCTATTTGCAACCTGGATTCCAGGTAATAGAATTCCAGACTGTAATTTTAAGGCTTCAAGTATCATCCTATAACAATGAAGCCATAACTTGAGACAGTGCAAGAAGGAGAGACTGTCATCTTCTCTGATATGCCAATTAATTCTTTAAATTCAGGGAGCTGTTTACACCAAGGGACATTAAGCAAACACAAAGGACATTCCATTTTCAGTCTGCCATCGAACAGTTCAACATCTATTACTTCATTCTTAGCCCATTGTATGAATCACCTGAGCTTAACATTGAGTTGGTACTTAAGGGGAATAAAAGAATTGGAATTCTGTCAACAATCCATTACTATTGTTCCATGAAGTAGTGAAGTTCTGTCACTGCTTGAATCACATGGAATTTGGGGAGGCATCTCATTCCTGTTCATATATGTCATATACATAGCCTCAGTTCTCATTTCCTGCACGTTTAGCAGAAAGTATAAAATGGACATGACAATATATTGAAGCCCATCTCAGAGTGGTAATGCTCTATTTGGTCACTATCCAGGGCAGTGTTCTTCAAACTTGGCAATTTTAAGTTGTGTGAACTTCAACTTCTGGAATTCCTCAGCAAACTTGGGAGAACTTGCCAACCTTGAGCAACTATGGTCTGTAGTTTCTGTAGAAGCATAATTGCTATGGAACAGGAATGGGCAATCTTTTGTCCATTCTCTCCAACAAATGGAAAAAAGCTAAGGCCCATAATAATGATAGGATGCTACAAATGGGAAAACAAGTTCTTTTATTTTTTCCAGATCCTAGGAATAATTTTTTAAAAAATGTTAGAAACACTTTTTAAAAATGTTTGATTAAAAACCTAATGTGTCTGCAGATTATCCAAGCTGTAAGCACAGTATTTGCTTTACTACTAAACTATTCCAACTCGGATCTCAGTTGAGAGGATACACATGAAATCTCTCTATCATGTTAAGACTGATCATGGTCCTAGTATATTAGCTGCTAGATCAGCCTACTTTGTCCGATAGAACCGTGCAATATCTCAATGAAAGATGAATTGCTTTCTCATTTCCTTGCTTTCTCTTATCATCTCTTTGCAAGATGCCATAATTTGAATTCTTATATTAAAACGTAAACTTATTATTGATTTTTATATGTTTAGGTGAATGCCCAACTTTATGTTGAAAACTAAAAAGCAATTACTAATTTAATAAGATAACAATTAAAACAGAGCATATTGTTAGACCTCTACTTTTAATGTAATCCCAATTGTGGAAAACAGAAATATCATATTGGCCTTGTGAAAGGTGTCCTTGTTTTAACTTTAATGAACCTCCTCAGAGGAGGAATTAATAAAGAGGTTGAAACTTAGTTCTTTTCTTTGCTAACCCTTGCAAGTTGAACTTTGTATATTGATGCTATTATTACTCAGAGATTCTCTGAGGATTGCCAAGGTGTTCTGACTCTCAATAATTTAGTAATAGGAATTAAAATTGCCAGGAAAAACTAAGGATGTCTGCCACGTCTGATCATATGCTAATTACATAGTTCTTGCCCTTCGTGTTCCTCATCAGTTGAATGTGGTTATTAATTGGTTGCTTTTTACAAGGATTTTGGGTAGTCATGCTGGCTACTTTTAATTTTGTAAAATTTTGTAAAATTAAGATTCAGTTTTTGTATAAACACAATGGTCTAGTGTACAGATAGTCCTCCATTTATAACCACAATTGGGCCTGGAATCTTGGCTGTTGAGTGAAGCAGTCATTAAGCTAGATGCCACATGACTGCTTCACTTAACAATCATAATCCCAGCTCTCCCAGTGGCAGTTATTAAGTTGGTGTTTGTTCACATTTTTGGCCAGATTTGAGGTATGTTCATCCAGCACACAGAGAGAATTATATCCCCACCCACTCACATGTGCATGGAAGAGAGGGGAAATCCTTCAGTGCAAGGGAGAATAGATCTCAAATGCAACAAGCACTCCTCATGCAACCTTCCTGTTGGCTTCCCCAATGACTCTTTGGGCAAGCCAGCAGTAATGATTGCAAATGGTGATCACATGATTGCAGGGCATTTTGCAACATGTTGTAAATGCAAATAGGTTGCCAAGTTCCTGAAATGCAGTCATGTAAGTTGGGCAGGCCAGCACAATGTTTTACAATGCCTAGAAGTGCTTTACAGTATGCATTCTGAGGCTTTCGGCCTGTGAAAGGTTGTAAGTCAAGGACTATCTATATGACTCATGGAATGAAGGACATTGATTTCTTGAGACACTGTTTTGCACCTAGCCTTAATTGATGGACCTTGCAGCTCTAAAAGGAGGCACAATGGCTCAGCATTTAAAGAGGCTGAGTTTGTCAGGTTTGACACCCAAGCATTGTGCAATGGGGTGAGCTCCTGTTACTTGCCCCAGCTCCTGCCCACCTAGTAGTTTGAAAGTATGCAAATGCAAGTAGACTAATAGGTACCATTTTGGTGGGAAGGTAAAAGTGTCCTGTGCATCTTTGGTGTATAGCCATGCTGGCCACATGACCATGGAAAATGTCATCGGACAATGCTGGCTCCCTTGACCAAGAAATGGAGATAAGCACCACACCCTAGAGTTGGCCACAACTGAACAGGGAAACCTTTACATTTAGCTTTTGCAGCTTATAAAAATAAAACATAAAGTAAATCAACTTGCCCACCCTTGCTTTAATGTATTCTAATTATTTCACATTCATTTCCAAGCTTTAGTCTCTCTCCTTGGAATACTTCCAATACATGTGATTGACTTATGTACACCAGATTTTCTTCTAAAACAAATGGGACTTTCTCCTTCTCAGCACTCAGCTGCCACTTGCAATAGATTTTCTGAAGCAATCTGGATCTTCTAAATTATATCTAGAATGTAGGTTCCTAATTAATTGTTTCAGAGAACTAATAAGAAAGGATCCAATGCAGAAAGAATACAGATGAATGAATATGCCAGTCCTTCCAAATTTGTGCAGGTCCCTTTCTTTCCATAGCATGATTTCATTTTTAAACCTGGGTGCCTTCATCTGTCCTCCTGGCAAGCATTCCCATTTGGCTGCATTTGAGTGCTCCAAAGCTGCTGTTCTGAAGCTTTTCAGCTGTATACATCAATTCTTGCTATATGATGGCAGAAGCTGAAAGCAGCTGTAGATGACTAAATGCCACAGACTGAAGCAATGAGAGCATGCATGAAGCTCTCAGTTTGTGCTTCAAGGGTGGTTGTCTCTTTGCCAACCCCCTGAGGCCATTATGGGAATGTTGATAAAGAGATTCGAAGGCCAAAGACATGTGAATCCACAGAAAGCAATTTGAGGATTTATAAAATGGTGGAGCACTAAAATCTGAGACTCTAAAGCACAAATTATACAGCTAACATGGATGTTTTCATGTTTATTTTGTATACATATTTTATACACTTCAATGAAGATTAGGTGCAGTTGCAAATGATTATGCAACAGTATGCATAACAGTGATAGTAAAATTATTCAGTGGTAACCTAATGTACACACCCCATCAACCACGACTTTGAAAAAAGAGACATTTAGAAATCAAGGTACATATATGGGACTAAGTATTTTATTTTTTGCTTCTCTTAATTCTAGCAGCATGTATTTTAATTTAATTTTAATAGGCCTCATTTCACAAATTATTCGTAGTTCTTTTGAGAATTCAAATAGGATATGAAAGAGTGAACTGGGTGCTATGTTGCAATTCCCACCTGGTCCAAGGCAGTGTGGAACAATGAAATGGGAACTTCTCAATTTCCAGAAGCTGCAACTTAGATAGGGGAGAAGAGCAGCACAGCAGTACTAATGTTGTTTGAGGACCCTAGTAGTACCCAAGCATATTGTTCTACCAATCTATGTGGACACAATTGTTACATCTTCCTGACAGAATCAATGACTAGAATAGATGTATGTTTCTTGTGCTGCAGAATCTACAAGCAGCTCTTCAACTCAATATCAGAAGTAACTTCATATTTTCAAAGCTAGTGCAAATTCGTTAATCTGCTCAAGAGCAGCTATTCTCATGAATATGTAATAGCAATGATGACAAAGCAGAAAGTTCACTGTATGATTTGTAAAATTATTTTGAGTTTAATGTTTTGGGATAACTATAAGGCGTAGTTTTTGCATTAATATCTTGGTTTCATTCTAGGCCCGAGGCTCTGGTGGTGGTAGGCGAAGGAATGATGTTTCTTCTATGGATGACCATGACAAACCTTATGTTTGTGACAGTAAGTAATCTCCAGACTTTTACTCAACTTTTTATAATATAATTTTTACTGAGAATTTGATTACAGCAATAAAAAAAACCAATAGACTTAGAGAAAAAGAAGAGAATAGAAAAAGAAAGAAGAACAAGAAAAGAAATATATAAAGAAGTGATCTCCAACCTTTATCACAACCAATATAACTCTTCGCCTTCTTTTAATGTCCTGGAGAAAATCCATCTATAGTATATAGTTGCTAAAACACTGACTAGATGGCACATGATCAATAAGTCAATCAATCATTATATTGATGGTTTTTTCTCCATGGGTACAAAATGTATGTTAAGTAATCATCTACATATCAACAAGTACCTTGACCCCGTGGGATGTGTTACTATTTTATTTATTTGGACTATGTTTTGTCTCCATCATATGTGTGAAGAATATTTTTGTTTAAAGGAAATTCAGTTCAAAAACAACATAGAATTTCCAATATTCCCTTCAGTTTTAGGTGCTTTGTCCCTGATAATTCACTTTAGAGAATTTTGTTCCATCAAGTTGAACACTTTTCTTCCAAGGTAAATGTAGAGTGCAAAGTGACAGATGTTTCATGCAAATAGATAGCATAATTTCTTATTAGTCGTGCACTATATTTTTCTTACTATTTTTTAGAAGAAAAGGCATTTACTATAATCTTAAAGTCTTCTCAGCAGTGACCATGTCATTCTTGGCTTTTGCCTTTTAATTAATGTTCTTGGTTAATAACAGTGTTGAAATGCCTGTGTTGCATAAGAATCACTGTTGTTTTGTTCCTGATGACTAATACAAATTAGTGTAGGTTTTTTCTTCCCATGTTTCAAGGCAGTTGCCCTGTACCCCTTACTTCTGTTTCTTTTAGGCATTTTTCTTCCATGAACTCATTTCAATTTGATAGCTGTAACTCCTAACAGTGGAAGTAATATCCTGAATTTTGCACATTAGCTTGCTTTCTGTGTTACAGATAGATGGGATGCCTAAAATATGTTCAGTTTAAATATTGGTTATTCATTTCACACTTGTCAGTGCAGAATGTATCTATATCATATCATAATTCTGTACATGTTTTGATAAACAATTAATATTTATTCATTATCCCAGATATTGCAACTGGGATTCCCAAACATTGCATTTGTGACTTTCCGGCTCTCTGAAATCGTGCCACTGAGGTTTGGCAGATAAATGGCTGATTTTTTTCTTCCAAAGACTTAACACTCACTTAAACTAAGTTTCATTGGGGGTATCTATAGTATGTGTTTGTCTTGAGAAAAGCGGGTCCAGAAACACACACAAAAGACCACAAAGACATAAATACTATAAACAAATTCATAAATACCTAATGCAAATGAAAATCAGGGATCACATATTACACTTTCTCTGTGCTTGGATAGTGCATTTTAGTGCAGAGTGCAGAGTGCAGATGGAGAGAAGTGCATTTTAGTGCAGATAGTGCAGAGATGAGCAACAAAGATGATGAGGGGACTGGAGGCAAAAACATGGTTGTTGGAATTGGGTATGTTCAGTTTAATGAAGAGAAGGACGAGGGGTGACATGATAGCAGTGTTCCAATATCTCAGGGGTTGCTACAAAGAAGAGGGAGTCAAGCTATTCTCCAAAGCATCTGAAGGCAGGACAAAAAGCAACAGATGGAAACTAATCAAGGAGAGAAGCAGCCTGGAACTCAGGAGAAATTTCCTGACAGAACCATTAATTAGTGGGATGACTTGCCTCCAGAAGTTGTAGGTGCTCCAACACTGGAGGTTTTTAAGAAGATATTAGACAACCATTTGTCTGAAATGGTATAGGGCAGGGGTAGGCAACCTTGACTTTTTTTATGACTTGTGGACTTCAACTCCCAGAATTCCTGAGCCAGCCATGCTAGCTCAGGAATTCTGGGAGTTGAAGTCCACAAGTCATAAAAGAGCCAAGGTTGCCTACCCCTAGTATAGGGTTTCCTGCTTGAGCAGGGGATTGGACTAGAAGAGCTCCAATGTCCTTCCTAACTCTTTTATTGTGTTAATCTGTTATTTTTATTCTAACTTACTATATAATGCACAACAAGTAGATTTAAACCAATCTACTGTATTGAGTAAAGACTACGAGAGGACAGCTTTTGTTTAACTTAACATGAGATATGCAGCAGTGAATTCAGCTTTGATCACTAAGGCTCAGCAACTGGTTTCAACTCAACTAATTTAAAGCAAAGTCTCACCTTGTATTTTATACTCAGATATGGAATAGGCTTTTTTTAATTAGGCAGCACATAGTCTAATGTCTCATAGTCTTTACTCAATACAGTAGATTGGTTTGAATCTACTTGCTGTGCATTATACAGTATTTAGATATTGCATGTATATTTAGCATGTGCCTCAGATGCAGGATCCAATTCTCCAAATGGTGGTCATTTCTAGATGATAAGAGACAAGATGGGTAGGGTAGGAATCAGGGAACCACACATAGTAATAGCACTTAGACATATACTGCTCCAAAGTGCTTTATGGCACTCTCTGAACTGTTTACAGAGTCAGCATATTGCCCCCAACAATCTGGGTTCACATTTTACCTATCTCAGAAGGATGGAAGGCTGAGTCAACCTTGAGCCGGTCAGGATCAAAGTCCTGGCTATAGGCAGAGTTTAGCCTGCAATACTGCATTCTAACCACTGTGCCACCAGGCTCACATACACAATTGAAGCACTGACTTTTGGTTTACATGTGTCACACAACCATACTTTAAATATCATATTTGTAGGAGAAGGACTGGCAGAGGCAAGAGGCAGAGTTAAAAGAGGGATCAGACTAGAATCTCTACATAGCCACAAATGGACTAAGTCCAACCTCCCCTTGAATTTGGTTCACCCTTATCTAACTCCAAGCAGATGCTGTCCATTAGTTGAGAAGATTCCGTGCATAGATTTTTAGCAATAAATCAGCTTAATAGGACTTTTTTCCACTAACAATGTTACTTTTAATGAATGTAATGCTTAAAGCAGCAGTACAGAGCTGTTCAAAAGCCTGAAAAACATCAGGTGGCTTTAATGAATGTCACAGATGTTCTGTACTCACACTATGGTTCATATATGATATATGGTTCAAAGCAATTCTTCTGTATAATTCTTTGGGATGCAAGAAACAGAAATAGAACTTTTGTTGACTGACATAGGCAGACAACTTGTATAGAAGTATGTAAGATGAGTTCTGTACTTCTGATGTATCATTTGCTGCATCCTGTTCATTGTTCTCTGCATCTTCTGTGTTTGTAGTCTGTGGCAAGCGCTATAAGAATCGACCAGGACTGAGCTATCACTATGCTCACACTCACCTTGCTAGCGAGGAAGGGGATGATGCTCGAGAACAGGAGACACGTTCACCACCTGTCCACAGAAATGAAAATCATAAACGTGAGTAGGATATATGTGCCCCGTTATATTTTATAATGTAATGCTCCAGTCCCTATTTACCCTCCCATTGCTGCATCCATCTTTGTATTACAGTTGTGACTACCCTTACTTTGCTCCTCTGTGAATTGTTAGGACCAGGCTTTTAATGGAGCTAATTAGCTGCAGCTTTTCCAGATGCTGAGCTCAGCTAATCCAAAATTTGTCTCAGACTTCCCATTAGCTCAGCAAGCAGGTCACTTTCCATCACTGTTCCTCTGGGAAAAACATGTGGAGAAGAGACAAGTCAGTAGCTTTCTGTGGTTCATTTTGAGAACAACATATACATTCTCTTTTTGTTTCTGCCCTTTTTTCTTGTTACTGGACAAAATTCCCAAGCTCCTAAAACTCCCTCTTAAGGGATCAAATAAGAGACAAAGGTTTTAGTTAAAGAAAAAGATTTACTGCTGGCTGTAGATCTAACAATATTTTTTGCTCCAGAAACTTTTGGACATTATAAAAAATGTAACGAGGCTCTATTTGCCTCATTTTTTTTATGACAGAAGGTTGGATGTTGGATTGAACCCTTTATAACTTTTTATAAAGCGTTGCACCTTTCTAAGAGAGGAAATGGCTGAAGGAACATGTTGCTTCCCTAGAATGTATTTTATAATACGAATGTGGTATTGGAAGTAAAATAACATTGGTGCTAAGATGTAACTCTTTATTGATGAGAATAAATGGGGAAATGTTAAGTTGCATTCCTGTCAAAAAAAGCCTAAATAATAATGGCTTTTTATCAGGTGAAAGCGTAGCTGTAGGCTGGGTTTTGGTCTCTTTTTAGAAGTACAATTCTAAATTTGAACAAACTGGTGGTATAATATAAAATGCTGCTTTTATTTTTATTTTTAATAACTAAATACAAAAAATTTAAAAGAAGGGAGGAAAGCTGAAAAAAATAATTTATAGCAATACATATCAATAACTTGGAGCCATGATTCATTACAGCCATCCATGGTTTTCTATATTAATCAATTCTCTAAACCACAGAATTGTTGGAGCCTTATATTTATCTTTCTAATGCTGAACAATTCATATTTTGATTGTAAATCTATTTTTTTTGTCCAGAATTCAACTCTCATATGATTGAGTTAAATGTAAACTTATGAAAATATTAAATCTCATTGAATTAAGAAACAAATTTGATAGTCTGGAGCATATGTGCTATTTCTTTTAAAATATGATACATACAGTATATGTATCTAGCTATTTAAAAAATAAAACTGCAAATATATGCAAGGAAAAAACCCTAAATGATTCAGTGAATCAATTAGCTAATTTATTAATGTCAGTGCAATGGCTAATGATAACTTTCTATGAATTATTTTACATATGTCATAAAATATATTGTCCATTTTACTTGTTTTGAAAAAAAAATCCAGAATATAATTTCATACGTTTTTAGAACAATTATCCCACAAGATTACCAATAACACAAATAAAAGAAGTAGTGGATGGCTGTTATAAAAATATTTCTAATAAAATAATTACATGAATAAATAAACAGCCCCAAGTCATCAAATATCTTAAGTTAATTACTCAATCTTCAGTTGTTCACCAATCATATCTCCGTGTAGAGAAAGTTTCAAATTAAATCCACTTTCATGTTTCTGGCAAATGTGATGCCACTGATAGGACCTCCCTTTCACCCAGATCTGATTTATGGCAGAGGATGTAGAGTTTGCAAAGCATGGGAATCGAATATTTTCAGTATTGGAGAAAGAGTCAAAATACATTTAAATAGATTACTTGACATGATAAAATCTCTTAAAAAGTATATGCAGTGAATTAAGTAAACAGATGTAGTAGCCAAAAAACATTCATTTTGCTATTATATCATCTTGTCAGTTAACTCCTAAGTTTATTGTCCCTTCCCAGTTCAGTGAGTCCAATAATTCTAGCCTTTCAAATCCTTTTGTTCTGAACGATTACAACTTTGCAAGAATTCTTATGGCTAATGGTAAATTATTAGAGCTGGGCTGAGTCTGCAGGGTGGTGGGTTAGAGCAGTGGTGGGATTCAAATATATGAACAATCGGTTCTCTGTGTGGATGCCACTTCCAGAAGTCCATTCTGGGCCTGGGCAACAAAAAATTAGCTTACTGGTTCTGCCGAACTGGTTCGAACTGGCTGAATCCCACCACTGGGTTAGAGGTCTTGGATTTCTCCCAGAATGCTGTTGCATTCTGTATGTTCCCCTATCTTGTTGTCAGCCAGTGGCATCTATAGGCTGAGTCAAAAGGTCCAGTTGTTGCAATGTAATCAATTTCCTTGCCCCTTGTGTGGTAATGCTCCCAATATGTGAATGGATTTGCACATTATCTTCTTGGAATTGTAGAAAGTTGTAATCTGATTGTCCCAAAGGTGCTTTTCAAAAGGCAACTGGATTTCCTTGTTTTTTTTCTTTTTTCCTTCAAAATGTTTTGCTTCTCATCCAAGAAGCTTCTTCAGCTCTGTCAGTTAGTTGCCTATTGAAAAGTATCTTTGGGAAAACCATGACCAAGAGGATTGAGAATCTCCATAGATATCTATAGCCTGGTTGTCTAAGAAGACATTATTTGACTTTTTGACAGAATTACGTTTTCTGTGCCAACCACAGTGGTTTCCAGATTGTTTCAAGCAAAAACTGGAGCTGATGACTGTGGCTAAGGTCAAGGACCCTATCTTCTTTGGAACCTCTCTGGAGAAAGAGAATAGGAGAGATTGTCCATGTTGTTCTCCATACGGTTACTCCTCACAAGGAGATTGGAAGGCAGCAGTCTCCGGAAGATGGGTGAAATCAGGAGATGAGGGAATTTGCCATTCTTGCTCCAATAGCTTTAAAAATATACTGAGTTCGCACGTCCTTTGCTCTAACTACTTTCAGAAAATGCCCATTAACTACTTTAAAGAAGTTAGACATCTTCAAAACGACAAGGCCCTCAATTCTTCATATAAGAAAATGAAACTATATAAGCTTTAAGAATTTAAAATAAACAGTAAAAAGGTTTTACCTATAGGAAGTTTTAAATGAATTAAGAAAGCATTAGAAGATATGATTTTGCATTTTAAGACTTTTAAAATTAATTTTAAAGAATAAATGCCTTTTTGTGACAAAGCAAAATTATTTTTTTGTTATTGGGGACATAATAAGATAAGTAATACTTGTAATGGCATTCAGAGATATTTTTGAGGAATTGCACGGAGACTTTGTATCAATAATGGCAGCCGTGTTCTTCTGTTCCTAGAAAAAACTGTGACAGAAAAAGATTCTGAATAAAACCTATCTGACAACAATATAAACTAGAATTTATTAGTGAATATACAAAATAATAATAAAAAACCAGACGAGGCTTTTAAAATTAAAAAGGAAATAAAAATACCAATCCCAGAGACCTGGATTGAGAGGGGGGAAAAAAACATTGCTAACTGGAATTGCTTACAGATAAGAGTTGAGTTATGGCATGAAGAATTTTATATCTGTTAATAAGGAGAAGGTTAATAAAGAGGAAGTGAAGAGGCAATGAAACTGTTTCTACTTGTGAAGAGGGTGGGAAGTTGTTCTTGGTTTTTTTTCTCTATTTTTCTTTCCTTTTGGATTTCTTGCACTTTTATTCTCATTCTTCATATTATCTTTTATTATGGTAGTTAAAACTTTTAATAAAAACATTTTTTTTTTAAAAAAGGAAAACCTGTTCTTCATATATTCTTCCTTGTAATTTTACCAGATATTTACAGTCAGGGCCTGACAAATCAGGAAATAAGCTTTGTGAAAACATGTATTTTGTTAGCCATAAGCTGTCCTGGTCCTGACAAGATGCCTACTTTGAAATCCCTCACTGTATGTATCTACAGTACTTTATTTCTATCTCTCCATTCATCTTTCCGTCCATTTACCAACCCCCCCCCCACATATAATTTTTAAAATCTGAAAGGGAAGAGAAAAATATTACGAACAGTTTTATTTTTATGGGCTTGTGGCATATTAGGTATCATAACTTTATCCTAACTATTGGAAATAATATTCAGCTATTTATTTGAATTCTGAAGTTTCGGTAGCTATTCCTGATACATTTCCAGGCTTGTCTTTGCCATCACAAGAATCAGAAATTGCTATTTAAATGAACTTGCTTAAATGAAGTTGAGTAGCCGCTCCCACATTCCAGTTTCTTGTCTGTGATTCCATGGAACCTGGATCATGCACCTTATTTGGGGTTAGTAAGAAATTTGCCTATCACTGAGACAATCACAGCCAAAAATAAAAAATAAAAATAGAGGTGATATGATTTCTCAGTGTGTTCCTTAAACAGTCAGAGGGACTGGCTATTTAGAAATAAACTTTTAAAATAAGCCTGGTGCTCCCCATTTCTGACTTTAGGTATTTTTCCAGGCTAATGGAATGGCTAAACTAACAGCCCTTCTCTACTCACTTTATTAAACTGTCATATAAAAGAAGGTTGAAAGTAGAAACATTGGAAGAGAATACCTATTATTCTATGATAAGGCTTCTTAGAGCATTTGGTACCTAAACAAGAAAGTTCAAGTGGTTTCTGCATAATTTTGTATATTTTGCTTTAGACTTTTAAAGTTTCTTCTGAACAGAGTATTCAAAGAGGTTTACATAAATGTAAAGCATTCCATGATTAACCCAATGGAGTAGAAGGAAACAAATAAACACATATGCTAGAAAATAAACAATTTTCTAAAGGAAACAGAAAATTCTAACAAAATGTAGACTAAAAATTCTTAAAACATAGGGGCCTCCAACCAATGGAAACAGATAAATAAAGAGGGCCTAAATGTAAGAAATAATCCTTGTATTGGGAACTGCAACAAGAAGTGCTCCATTCTCATAATGTGAAAGATATTTTATCTGTTTTGAGACTATATTGATGTCTCCACGGGGGGGGGGGTTTCAAGTACAGTCAATTCAATTTCATTGGTCAGATTTAAATTATGCTGTGATACATGTATTATTGCTATACA